AGGGAGGGGCGGAGGCGGGCGGGGGGGGGGGGCGGCGAGCACTTCCGGGCTCTAGGCTCCGGGGCATTTCCTTGTTTGTCCAGTGTCCCGACCGCATGTCGGTCGGGACGCGGGACAAACAAGGAAATATCGGGACAGTCCCGATAAAATCGGGACGTCTGGTCACCCTAGATGGATCACTCGACAGTTGCCCTGTTCTGTTCATTCCCTCTGAAGCACCTGGCACCAGCTGCTGTCGGAAGACAGGATACTGGGTTAGATGGACCATTGATCTGACCGGGTATGGCTGTTCTTAAGCTCTTATGCTATGTTCTCCAAGTACATCCATCTCGCAAGCCTGCAGGAAGCATCATTAAAGTAACTGAAGAATTTTAAATAAGAAATATTGTAAAGTGCAGGCAGCAAGAGTAGACAGTTTAAAATGCCAACAGTTTAAAATTGTGATGTCAAAGTTAAATACTGACATATGGCAACTGCAGTGAGCTAACACATGGGCTGCGGGTACTGGGTTCTGCCCTCTAATACCAGATCATGATGATTATGGATGGGAAACACACTTAGTTCCTTGTGCATGGGAGAGTGATAAGAATGCCTGAATGATGCTTCCTCATTGGATTATGTATATAGAATCTGCTGTTTTCTCTCCCCTCTCACATTATTTTAAAAGAAACCAACCCCCTCATCCCCATCCCTCTCCCCCACACATGATGGTTGAGGAATTAGTATATATTAAATCTCTTAATTTATCTCTCGGAAGGCTGGAAAAATATAATCTTTTGCTTGCCTTTGAAACCTTTTTTGGGTAAATGAATTTTGAAGCTGCTTAGATCTTTTATGGAGGTGTGGGGAGGAGTATTTGGAAATCTGTGTTGATCACTTCTCTGAGATTTTTTTTTTAATAAGGCTGCTTTAGTATGTGATTCTAACTCCACTCCAGTGCTCCCTATAATGCAGACATTAGTCCAGGCTCAGACTTCAGCTGTCTCAAATCAAAGTTTCCAGTCCAAAGAAATGTTAAGGAACTAGGAGAGAAATGTTATTTTCTAACCAGGAGAGTTTCATTTGTACTGCACATATGCTGTAAGAGCAATTCTTGGACTGTCTTATGAATTTATTTAAGGGATGTGATGAATGTATCATAAATGTGTCTTCCAGGGATGCTAGAATTCACTTAATTCAAAGTAGCAGTGAAAAGGGAATTGTGGTGAGCTGAAATTGTACTGTTCAGGTTTCTGGTAACAGCATACTGAGATTGTCTGATCCCTTAGTGGCTATTGGCCTGCACAATATTTGCAACAGCTTTGCCAACTCCTGGAGAGTTTTGGGCTTCTACAGTGCCTTCAACAGCAGAATTTTACCCCAGCCCAATATGGGGCTTTTAGGGCCCCTTTACACTGATCCAGCCCTTTTACTTGACACAAAGAGTCCAGAACTGGGGTAAGAATCTCACGCCTGCTGTCAAAGGGTGCAACTTCGCTAAGGCAATCAAGATATATCCACTTACACCACTGTGACAGTGTGCAGGGAACAAACAGGTGAGTCTGCACTCTGATCACTCAGGTGTTAATTAGTTCCTCTAAAGAAAGTTGATGGAGGGAATTAAATAATCAGGCTGGCTGGGTTGGCTGGGATAAGCTGCCAAATACTTCATCAACGCAAGGCTGATAAAGAGCCAGAGCTAGTTGAGCCCAGTTACATAGAGACATCTGTGCTCCTCAGGTCCTGAGGAGAGGGCCAAAAAAAAAAATCATAGTGGTGCTGTAAATGGACTGTTGCACTGGGACTGTTGTGGAAATAGTGGAGGGAGCTTAAAATAAAAGGGTTCGGTGAAGGCACAATCAGTAGAATCTGTTCAGTTTCAGCAGAGAATAAGGCAGGAGAGAAGCTATGCGAAGTTACACCAATGTGTGTTTTGGGCCCTCGATCGCTAATGCATTTTGGTCCCCACAACTCTGCTTCAGCATCATATATTTCCTTTGTCTTCATCAGAACTGCAATTCTAAACCCAATTCTTATGGCAGTTATTTTGTTACACTTGTTTTCTACGACAGTCTTCTCTTCCAACAGGCATTACCATGACAGCTCATACCGACAGCAGCATTTGGCACTCATTTTGCACAGGCCCTCATTCAACACAAGAAGAAAGGCTGCACAAGGTGGAGAACCAGCCCTCTTGTCTCTTTCTAGACCATAACAAAAGGAATAGGCAGTTATTATTTTAAAGTTAGTTCTACTGCACAATAGACTGTGAATGTGTAAGGGCATCTGTGTCATGAGAAGAATGAGGATGATAACCATTTTTTGTCCTGACTATCCCGCAGAGAGAAAAAAGAAATGTCTTTGAGCATCCTGGCTTAGAATTGAGTGGGGTCAGCCCAACAATGATTGACAAAGCTCTTGGTAAACACATAACTACTGTCACCTTGAAATCCACCATCAAGAGCAATCCCTTGTACACTGACATCCGAACTGATGATGACTGGGCAGAGAGGAAAAAAAACCCTTCCTGGACTGTTCAAGACTATGACAAGCATTCACTGCATTCTAACCTGGCTAACTACTTAAAGGTATTTTGCTGTAGACTCATACATGAACAAACCCAGATGCTATGCATTGTATTTACACTTGAACCACTGAATAAAATGCTGTGCTTATTTGCTGGTGATTCTGGTTTCAGAAGTAAATCTGAATGTTTTTGTAAGAATTCCATGCGGATCCACTCACAAGAAGTAGGATAGTAGTATGGTTAAGACACTGAAGACTGCAGTTCAATCCTGGCTCTGCCACAGCTGTCCTGTCACCTATAGCAAGTCATTTAATGTCACTTTTCCCCATCTTTAAAATGAGTATAATAATATTTTCCTCTCTCACACAGGGGATGTGGGGGGAAATTCACATTTGTTTGTGAGGTACTAAGGGCTAGATCTACAAAGGGATTTATGTACCTAACTCCCACTTTTGGGGACCTAAGTCCAATATTTATCCACTAGTGAGATCCTCGAAAGCCCTGCTCAACTGCTGCCTAATTCCATAGGTATATAAAGTCACTAGGCACTTGAGTTTCCGCTGGTAAAGTCCCCTAGGTGCTTAAATGTTTGCCAGTGTGTATGCATGCAGCCGCCTAAGTCCTGCCGTTGCACCAGAATGGTCTCACATTAGGCATTCCCCTGTCTGTCTTGGCTGCAGGGTGTGATCTGGTGTGGCAGGGTGTGATCTGGTAGGCCTTCTTAGAGCATGCCTAATGCATACAAAAGACAGCTGAGGGGAGGTGGTCCCCAAAAGCCCAGTAATTAGCGTACTCACCTGGAGGACCTAGGTTTGAAGCCCCTCTCTGCCTGATTTGGAGCAGAGACTTGAATCAGGTATTTTGAAGAGGAGGGAAATGTTTCCATCTCACCTGTTGAAGCTGATCTACTTTTTATAAAATACTTAAACATGCATTTGAGGAGGGCTTGGAACCCAGAGTTTCTACTTGAGTGCCCTAATCACTGGGCTAGCAACTCATCCATTAGGTCTCACTGGCCTAAGTCCTGCCTCGCTCCTCAGCAGTTACTACTGACTAGTTTAGGTGGTTCCTTGCTCAGCTTGCTGGCTTTCCATTCTGAGGTGCTTCTCTTCTCATGTGTCTCATTCAGGGGTGTGGATTCCATTAGGTGGCAAGGTACCTAAATGTTAGGCGCTGCAGCACCTAAGTCCCTTTGTGGATCTAGCCCTAAAATACCATGTTGATGGTGGCCATATAAGAACCTGGACAAATAAATTATGCCTCAATGTACTTTTTCAAATAATTTAGCTTCTCATAACCATATCCCCACCACCGGTACTCCTGTCTGCTTGTGGGTTAGTGTGTATTACTTTGGGGGGGCGGGAGGGAGTTTGATAGTTCTCCTTGCTGAAAAGTGACTCAGATCTGCATTTGTAAATTAGCACCTCTGTATCCGCATGAGAATGTCAAGAGGTTTCTTCTGGGTCTCTATCACATTTCAATGACTGGTATCCTACATTAGGTTCCTTGCTGAGAGCTATGGTTTTAATAGTCCTCTGTGGGACAGCATTCGACATCTAGTGCAGCCGAGAGTTCAAGTGTAATTTTTTCTGATTTGAATTGTGATGTTTTAAATTCATTAATTACTAAGTGATAGCCAAAATACTCCTGACCAACTATGTTCTGGTGACTTTACATACAATACAGAGGAGCTGAGTTCATTTTCTGATCTTTCTTTTAGGAAAATCCTAATGATCTACAATTTTGGATGGGGGATATTTATACCCCTGGGTATGACACCTTGCTGAAAAAGAAAGAGAGAGAAAAGAAACATTCCAAATGCTGCTTAATTTTCCTGCTTGTGGTATTTGCTATCTGCATCTTGATTGCAATAGTCACTGTTAGCATATTATTTACTTGATACAGCCAAATCCAGTCACAGCGGTTTTCCAATAAATGTTTTTATGAAAAGACTTTCCTCCCCTGGTTTTATCTGAAATTCAGAGTTGTTGTCATGAATGCAATTTATTTGACATCTAAGTTTTACAAAATCCCTATTCAGCATAAGGAATCGGTCCTTGAAAGAGATAAATACACTGAGCACTACAGTACTTGCTTTATGTTATCTGTGTAATTCACATCACTATTAATAAGATGCTCATTTAATGGCTTTTTCTTCTGAACAGTGATCTGGGCCAGATTCTAATCTCAGATACATGGTGCATATAGCCAGTACATAGAAATTTTTGCTACCTGTCCACATACTATGCAAAATCCAATATCACACCTTCCAGATCTACCCCAGTTGTTATATCGTAAGAGTGTGACAATGTAGCATTCAAGGTATTTCAAAGTGTTTACAAAGCAATAAATTAGATACTAGTAAGGGCTTGGACTAGGGAGTAAATTGCTGCAGCCACAGAGCATTCCAGTTCTCACAGAGCTGGCCTAGATGCTTGGGTTATTCACAACACTTAAAAACAAACAAACAAACAAAGCCCACAAGATTTTGAGTTACCAGAGACAGGGCCTCAATTTACCACTTCACTACTGCCTCACATCCCTCACAGTCTATCAGCAGTGTATCACCCACTAAAGTGACAGTGTCATTATTTTGTTAGATGCCACATCACAGAAGTTTGAGTTCTAGAGCAGAAACTGGAATAGCAGATCCACATTGAAGGGGTTAAAGAATGAATTCTGTTTAAATGATGTGATAAGGGTCATGCGCAAATAAATGGAACACCTGAAAGTGTTAAAATAGCTTAGATAAACAGATTGATGTCTCAGAATTATTCAGGATAATGAAATACAAGCTAAGTTGACAAATACTGTATCACAACCTGCTTTGACAATGCAAACTGTGTGCACACATAGGAGGAGCACATAAATAAGTTCTATTCAGCCCATGAAGTATCCTCTGTGCTCATTGGACCAAATCCCTGAACCAAGGTAAGCCCTCTGTGCATTTCTGCAGTGGCACAAAGAGGCTGTAAAGCCGCCCTAACAGGCAGCTGGGGATTGGCCTGACACAGGGAAAGCTCCCCATGATACTAAGCCTCAATAGCATGTGTTATGCCAGCTGTTCCCCCCTCCAGATGGGAAGTGTGTTGAGCTGGGTCAGGAACAGGCTCGGGGTGAGGCCAGACTGCACAGTACTGCAATCTGACACTCAGGCAAGAGGAACAATCACTAAAGGAAGCAGTCTAGATGGTGTAAGGCAGAGTAGCCCCATAGCTACTTTCACTTATGCTGGGGAGGGGACTGTGGGGGAGGGAAAGGGGGAGATCAGCCTCAAGATTGGGGGAAGCAGAAAGGTGGGTTAGAGCCACCTTTGTTTTCTTCCCCTTCCCCAGCTGCTCCAAGTGTGATCTTCGACCCCATCTACACTATTGCCACAACCACTTCGAGGACCTGATTAAAACAGGGTTGGCCTCTGAGCCAGTGACAGCATGCAGGGGCACCATTTCAGATTTTGGGGGGGAAAGGGGAATGACTTTAATCATGATTCCTGGGGCTACTTAGACACTTGAAAACTCTAGTTTTTTGGCAGATCACTTAGCAATTAGCGGACAGGAGCCCTGTATCTAATTCCTTTATAAAAGAAAGAAAATTAAATAAATTAGACCCATTCAGCTCTAACAGCAACATGTTCTCACATCTTGTGGCAAGTCACTTAAGGGACACTGGTTAGGTTTAAAATTTTAATGTATATTCTTACTTTATTACTAACTCTTTGGAGAGAGAGACCCTGTCAGGACTCCTGGGTTCTATCCCAGCTCTGGGAGTAGCTTGGGGCCTAGTAGGTTATAGTGGGGAGCAGATACATCTGGGTTCTATATAAGAACATAAGAACAGCCATACTGGGTAAGACCAATGGTCCATCTAGCCCAGTATTCTGTCTTCCAACAGTGGCCAATGTCAGGTGCCCCAGGGGGACTGAACAGAACAGGTAATCATCAAGTTGCCCTGTTGCCCACTCCCTGCTTCTGGCAAACAGAGGCGAGGGACATGCAGAACATGATGTTGGATCCCTGCCCACCCTGGCGAATAGTCATTGCTGGACCTATCCTCCATGAACTTATCTAGTTCTTATTGAAACCCTGTTATAGTTTTGGTCTTCACAACATCCCCTGGCAAAGAGTTCCACATGTTGACTATGAAGAAATACTTATTTTTGTTTGTTTTAAATCTGCTGCCTATTCATTTCATTTGGTGACCCCTACTTCTTGTGTTATGTGAAGGGGTAAATAACATTTCCTTATTCAATTCTTCCACACCATTCATGATTTTATAGACCTCTATCATTTCCCTCCCTTAGTCATCTGTTTTCCAAGCTGAAAAATCTGTCTTTTTAATGTCTCCTCATACAGAAGGTGTTCTATACCATTAATCATTTCTGTTGCCCTTCTGTGTACCTTTTCCAAATCCAATATATCTTTTTTGAGATGGGGCGACCACATCTGCACGCACTATTCAATATATTGGGGGTACCGTGGATTTAGAGAGGCAATATGATATTTTCTCTTGTTATCTATCCCTTTCCTAGTGAGTCCCAATATTCTGTTAGCCATTTTAATTGCCACTGCACATTGAGCAGATATTTTCAGAGAACTATCCACAAATGACTTCAAGATTTCTTTATTGACAGGTTCAGCTAATTTAGACCTCATCATTTTGTATGTATAGTTGGGATTATATTTTGCCAAGTGCATTACTTTGCATTTATCAACATTGAATTTCTTCTGCCATTTTGTTGCGCAGTCACCCAGTTTTGTGAGATCCCTTTGTAACTCTTTGCAGTCTGCTTTGGACTTAACTATCTTGAGTAATTTTGTATCATCTGCAAATTTTGCCACCTCACTGCGTACCCCTTTTTCCAGATCATTTATGAATATGTTGAATAGGACTGGTCCCAGTACAGACCCCTGATGGATACCACTATTTACCTCTCTCCACACTCACCTTTTATTCCTATATTCCTACTCTTTGTTTCCTATCTTTTAACTGAAGCGCCCGGCAATGCTTTCAATATCATCTAAGAATCCTTAATTTACTTTAAAGACAAGCCTTTTATTATTCTAATCACCTGCCTCTGTTTATAAACAAACTCAGCCCCAAAGGCTGTGCTGCTCCCAGCTTCCGAACTCATCACATATCACACTCAAGCTGTTGCTGTTAAGAGCTCCATTTGGGGCTAGGGTGAGTAGACCTCTCCTACGAAATGGAGGGAGGAGGGGTAGCTAGTGCCCTCCCCTGCTCCCCCTAAATGGTGCCCCTGACAACATGGTTCCATTTTGTAGTGTAGATGGCAATCTACAATCTACAATGACAAAGTCTTGGCATTATGTATGCAGTATAATTGTAGCTGTGTTGGTCCCAGGATATTAGAGAGACAAGGTGGGTAAGGTAATAACTTTTATTGGATATTACCTCACTCACCTTGTCTCTCTAAAGTCTCGGCAGTCTTTTAACGCCTTGAGGCAATAGCACACATCAGGAATGCACTTAGTGTCTACACTACAAAAGATGAACTGTGTTGTAGGTGTGTCGGGACAGCCATCTACTAGCTGAGGCTCCTGACAGACTGAAGTTTTAGTGTAGACAATCTCTATATCAGAAAGAGCAAATCCATTCAGTTTATGAAAAAAGTGTTTCCAAACACTTTAAGAGGTTAATGGATTATACTATGAAGTAATTATTCACATTACAATAATGCTTTATCTGTTTTTTCCAGCCCAAGTACATATGTTTAAAGTGCATTGCATACAATGTTGAAATGTATTTTTGTAAATCATTGAGGTTGGTGGGCGGGAAGCCTAAAAGCAAAAAGTACTGTAATTTCCAGGAAAATGGCCAATGATGAGAGTTTCTTAACTGTGCTGCTCTCTGTGGGTTTAACAGTAAGGATAAAATTGTTTTCTCCATAAATCCATTACTGGCTGTTTCAATCTGGTTCTTGCTACTGTCATCTAGTGGAGATTCTCAAAAGGTGAGAAAAAGTTCCCCCTGTTTTTTGTCACTTGTGCCTATTTCAATCTAGATTACACTACTGCCATCTAGCGGTAGAACTAAGGATGCACGCTAGGGTGATAACTGGCAATTTTGTTTAGTGAAGGTGAAACTTAATCAGTGCATTCTTTAATTTCTCCCTCTGACTTACATAGACCTGTGTTACCTCTAGGTTCATTTTGCAGGGCTTCATGGCAGCCTTTCTTGTGCAGCGCTTTTTGGTTTTGTGCTTCAGGTAGCTTCTTATCACATAAATTTTTAAAAATTTAGAAAAAGAGAAACCTGCCCAGTGGAATTTGCAAGTTTCTTTAAGTAAAAATACAACTCCTGAATATTTGAAATAGTGGTCCTTTGGGATGGGTCAGTGTAAGATCCTAGTTCATTGTCTGCTAAATGTGAATTCTGTTCTAGTTTGGGGAAAAACTAGTTGAACCACTGTTTGAAAAAGAGAACAGGCTCAAAAACAAAGAGAAGGCCCTTTGGTTTCTTTCAGCATAGGAAGGTCCTGTGGAATTTGCAATAAGCACTTTGGCACACTTGATAATCAAAATTAGGAAGACACAATTATATAGAGTATTTCTCTGAATCATTTGATGAAATGTTAAGTAATGTGAGGTGGCAAATATATGCACTTTACCTTAATGGATATCCTTACTGCAGTAGGTAGTGGAGTGACTGTCTCTATTTGTTAATAATCCACTTCTTTTATTCATTGGATGTCAAACACCAGACATAAGTCATGCAGCATTTGTGCATTTTGTGATTAACACAATACTTTGTGTTTTAAAAACAGAGCTCTCAGTTTATTCCAGCAGTGCTTTTAAAGCTAATTTAGTAAAACTACACTACCTGGCTGTGTTTTATAAACTGGATGTACAGCATGAATTCCACACTAAATTATCTCTGAAG